CTGCCCGGCCCCGGGCCCTGCCCGGCACCGCGGTGCGGAGCTGCCGGGAGGGACCGGGAGGGAGGGACCGGGATGGAGAGATGGAGGGAGGGATGGAGGGAGGGACCGGGATGAAGGGATGGAGGGAGGGTGTGGTCAGGAGGGAGGAGGGAGGGAAGGACGGAGGGTGTGGTGAGGAGGGATGGAGGGAAGGTGGCTCCGGAGGGATGGAGGGATGGAGGCAGGACCGCTGCCCCTCTCAGGGGAGCCCCCTCGCCCCCGGCTGGGCACAGCCCCTGGGGTGGGACAGGCACTGCCCCCCCCCATCGCACCCAGCTCCTGGATTCGTGTGGGGCACAGACCCCGTCCCTGCACCCGTGGGGCCCATGCCTGCAGCCGGTGGAGTGAGGCCACGCTGCCCACACCAGCCTGGCAGCCGGAGCTCCCGAGTGGTGGCCGGGCCCAGTGGCCAGAGCTGGCCCGGGGGGGCTCGACCCTGCCCCAGGGTCCCACCCGGGATGGTGCACAGGGACACGGTGCTGCCCCAGCACCGCCATCCCCAAGGAGCTGCGGGGCCAAAATGCGGCCCCTGACACCCAGGCACCGCTGCTGGGGGTCCGGACTGCCCGGCCCCTGCCCACAGAAGCTCGGTCGGGGGGAGGGAGCAGCGCCTGGGGCCCCTCGGCAGGGAAGGGAGGCAGATGGTCACCCCACACCCTGCGTGAGTGGAGCCGGCGTGGGTGTCGCTGGAGCGCAACGGGTGACACTTCTGAGTCAGCCTGACAGCGGCTTCGTCACCGGACTGTCCCCACGCGGGAGGGGACGGGGCTGCCGAGGGGCCCACGGGTGATGGAGAAGGGCTGAGCCCCTGAGGAGCGAGAGCCGGCGGGGCCAGGGGACAGCCACCTCCACACCCCCTCCGTGGCATAAAACCCACGGCCTTTGGCCACCCGGCTGAGACCTCCTCACCCTCTCGTGCCGCCCAGCACGGCCCCAGCAGGGCTCCTCCCAGGGACCACCGAGCTCCAGCTCCCACTGCGGGTCTGTGTGTCCCAGGCTGCTAGGGCTGAGCTGGGGTGGGGGATGCTGGTGTCGGGGGAGCCCCCAGGGTGGCAAGCAGGGATGGGTGTTGCGCCGGCCAGGGTGCTTGGAAACCACTCAAAATCAGGTCAGCAAAAAATGTGAATGGAGCCCATGGCCGGGTGGGAAAAGCTGCTCGCGGGGACAGCGCAGGGGGTGACCATGTCACAGCCAGTGGCGAGAGCCGGCGATGGCTGCGCTGCGCAGGGCTGGTGGGCGGCCCTGCCACGGTCCGGGGTACAGACCCCTTGGGGGGATATCGGGGTGCTGGGGGCCACCCGGGGCAGAGACACAACCCCCCGCCCGCACCCACCCTCGGGCATCTCTGAGCTGCTGGGGTGAGCACGGCAGCACAGGGTGTTGCGACCCCCAGGAGCAGGAGAAGGGGGGGGCCCAGCTATGGTGGGGGCACGGCGGGACCCCG